GCGGACGGAGTTTGGAAAAATCCGTTTCGTTCCCCGCACTTGCCAGATCCGTTTCGACCACCGATCGGGTGTGGGATATTTATTTGTTAAAGCAATATTCGTTGGTTCGATAATTCGCGTGCGTGATTTGTACAAACGACTTGATTGTATTCCTTGATTGCTAGATTAAGTGACACTCTTGGATTATAAGGTGTTGCAACGAGTTCTGACAGCGGGTGGATTTGCGAGCGTGTTTGAACAGCAGCGAATTGTAAGTACCGATCTTTATTCGGACTATACTCACGAGTCGATTAATAATGGAAAGTTGACAGCGATAAATATTTGATTTAGATTATTTTGTAGCCGGTGGTCGAAACGGATCTGGCAAGTGCGGGGAACGAAACGGATTTTTCCAAACTCCGTCCGCGACGTTCCGCGACATGTGCTGCCTCCCCACGCCTGCGAAGGTAGGAAGTCTAGCGAGAATTCAAATATTTAAATATTTAATAGAATAAGCGATTCGCGCTACACCATACATAACATTATAAATAGTGTTTAATTCTTGTCCACTGCCATGCCGGTGATTAGTGCTATCCCACGTCCCCCCCCCCTGTTCATTTATTTCTGCATATCATATACTAGCTTAAGTCATCTTCTATAATATGAAATAAAACTAATATGTGCTAAGGCAAAAATTAAGTAAGATAATTAATTAATACTGATCTAATACTCATATTCACCGAATTGAAATATAACACACAGACACAGGAGAAAGATAATATCGATTTCATGCATTCAAAAATGTAAACTAAAAATATAAAATATTAAAAATAATGTGCCATAAAATAAAAGACGTTAAAAAATATGAAAAAATCCAGATATACATCATTGTATATCGTCTATAAATCCTGCTGCCATAAATCGACGAAGTTTATTTTTTGTAAATATGAAATAATTCTTAGATTTGTATCGTATTTCAATATATATACAATGTACAGTGATGTATTTCCAGATCTATTAAGGAGTAATAAGGAAAGACCCGCATATATGGTTTGCATGATACTAGTCGAAATAATGAGTTTTAATTGGTCTGATAATATGCAGATGTATTTTTCTACATCCCATATATATCTGAGTGAGTTAAACGCTTTTCACATTCACTGAATTAAAATATAAAACACAAAGGAAAAAAATAATATCGATTTTAGGGAAAAAAAAAAAATAAAAATAAAAAATATAAGAAAATAAAAAATCACGCAATAAAAGATGTTAAAAAATATGAAAAAATTCAGATGCAGTTCTTTGCATGTTGTCTATATGTTAGATATTTTTGCCGATTTTTATAAATACATCGGGCCAGAATATAGGGGAAAATATGCTAAAAAATATCTTTTTTTTTCATTTTTGACAATGTCGCACCATTTATAATAAGAAAATACATATATGATTACTTAAAGTATCTAAAATTACAACTTTTAATGAAAAAAAATCTGGTGTACCGTCTTCGACCTAAGAGTTACAGACATTTTAAAATTTTTCAATTTTTTTTTACTATGAAATTGAGCAAATTAAATTTTGAAAAAATTTGAGCACAGTCTCTATATCTTGAAGTTTAAGTATGAATTTTTTCAAATGTTTACAAGATACTGTTATTAAGAAATAAATTAAAATGTAAAAATGCGGTTTTTTGGGCCCCCAGGAGGTTGGCGGGGGGCGGGCGGGCGGTAAAATAATGCAAACTTACTTTTTCTGGTATAGAAACATATTTGCAACATTATTTTCCAAAAAGCGTTTCAGTGACATTTCACCTATTATAATGCGAAATACCCTTTTATTATTGTCGAAATACAAACTACAAAGATGTAACATTTATAAAATAGTGTAAATGAGAAAGGAAATAAAATGTAATTACATTTTTAATTGTTTATTAAACTTCCTATTAATTGAACATTATTTAGTCGACTGATACATTTTCAGAAAACAAAAACAAAGTATTAAAAGATATTAAAATTGTTTTAGCTTTGGTATTCTTTTGGTATTGTTTTTTTTTTTATTATCTAATATTAAGTTTAAATTTTTCTTATTATATAAATATATAATATCACATTTAAAACATAGTTATCATATTATTACATAACAGTCTTAGAATAAACGTGACTTACATATAAAAAATATGAATAAAAGATGTTTCTTTATATATTTTTAAAAATAAAATACGTTTTTAAAATTAATCAACACAAAGATTATTTTAATATTTATGCAACATTTATAAAGAATATTTTTAATATCTTCAGTAACAGCTTCCTCCTAATCAAAATGAGTTATCAACAGAAAAAAATAAAAATTCTAACTGAATTTATAAAAATCCTACGGTAGCAATCTTAACAACACTTATACCAAAATTACAGCTCGTTTATATAGTACATTTCTAAATAAATCACACATATGTAGAATGTATTGCAGCCTTTTTGATTTATACCAGCACCGTACCATGCGTTTTATTCATTTTGTAACACTGAGGAAAACAAATTTTCAAACAGAACCTGTAAGTTTGAGTTCATGTTCCTCATTTCTTGTAATATTTCCTATTGTGTTGCAAGCATATTCCGTTTAGTTTGTAATTCTTGTTGTTTTAATAACAATTTTTCTTCTTGCACTTTTAACATTTGTGTGGACATACCAGTAAGAGATTTTGATGAAGAAGTAGTATGCGAAGGTACAGGTACAGGTGATATTATTTTTCGTTTTTTCGCAAGTAATTTATTAGATTTTCCAGCATTTATATTCTCCTTATCAGCTTCATTATCTGAGCTGCAATTTGTAGTTTCTATGATTGAAGAATGTTTATTTTTATCTGCAGAACTTAATGTGTAGACTCCTTCGTTGAATACAGGCTCATAATCTCCGATAAATTGCAGTTCATCACTTTGAATGTCTTGAAACGGTTGTGTTTCAACAGATGTATTCTCCAATTCCCAAACACTTGTTGATTGTAAATGTCTGTGCGAATCCTTCATAAAACTCTGCAGAATAATAAATTTTCCATTCTTAATATTTTTCATATTTTTCATTTTTTAAATAAAGTATCATAAACATACATAATATAAGAACTACTGTAAATTCTAATTCCTTTTGAAATAAAAAATACTTCATTTCAAAAATGTTGCTGAAAGATAACGTGCTGATACATTATTACCTATAACATGTAATTTTGTAGCGGAATACCTGCTCATTGCGTGGCTTCTTTAAAGGAATTCCTCCCTGAGGCACATTCTCAATTCCGGCAGCTTCGGGTGTCAGTAACTCCAATAGCTTTTCTTCAATGTCAGTGAAGTTAACTTTCATAGGAGAACCACCACCTGTACCCCTCGAATGATTTCTTCTTTTCGTCTCCTTTTTGAGAACATTCATTCGCCAGTCATTCCAGCTCTATTATAAAACAAGCATTTACATTATGGATATTAGATAATTTAAAAAATGACAAAAATTGAAAAAATAAGTAGTATAACATTTTTCAATAACTCTTACTTTTCTCCATTCTTCAGAATTCTTTTTGGGACCTTCAGCAGAACTATTCAAGATGTTCGCTAGGTCATCCCACATATCTTTCTGTGAAACGAATTCATTACATATTACATATATGGCCCGGATATAGACCGAAACGTCTAGTTTTGTATCATTTTTTAAGTATTATAATATATTTTATATTTTGTGATCGCACCATTAACAGCAAATTACTCTCATTAACCCTAGATTTTTCTATATTTTATATTATGTATATCCTAATATTTAAATAAAACATATTTTTGATATAACACACATTGTGCATTAATAATAATACCATTGTCCTGCGGCTTTCCGATTTACTGCTTAATCGTCCTTGTAATAATTCACGATGGGATTCCATATACGTTAATAAAATTTCTCTTTGCTTATATGTAACATTCATTTTTAAACTGAAATACATATACTAAATTGGAGAAATTTTTCAAATAAATGTTTATGTATTCTAATTAATAAGTTAATTGTGGCAACTTACAATTATTAGTAACTATCTTTCTTATTGCCACTAATGGTGTTTTTATTCATAGGTATTAAAGGTTATGTTTAGAATCGTGAAGTTGTCATCGGTATGATTTTTGGAATATTTTCATGTGAATAGGTCTCACCACTTCTAGTTATGTCACTAATCATTTCTTTCGCTAGATGATCGCAGTGAAAATAAAAAATGGTGAAACCGTGAGATGGCCGCCGGTGAAAATCTAAAAGTGAACGATGTCACTGAAAAATACGTGATCGATACCCTGGTGTTGGAAATTCTTTAATTGATTTCAAATTATCCTTCAATGGCTGCACAGTATTTTTTGATATTACATGACCGAGGTATTTTACTTCATTTTTCGCAAAATTACATTTGATGAATTTTAGTCGGAATCCTTCTTTGGAAATAACCTGCAATAATTTTTCCAGATGTTTTATGTGTTCTTCAAAGGATTTAGAGAAAATGAGAATGTCGTCAATGTAATTTGTGCAAAAAGTATTCAGATTATTTCTTCGAATAATGTTGCTTAGTATACGTTGAAATATTGCAGGCGATGTTTTTAGGCCGAATGGCAAACATTTCCATTGCCAGTGGCCATCTTGTGTTACAAATGCAGTCTTATATTTGTCCTTGATACGCAAAGGAATTGCCCAAAAAGCGGAATTTATGTCCAATGCAGAATACCATTCTGAATCTCGTGTTTTCGTTATAATTTCCTCTATTAAGGGAAAAGGTTGAGGTTCCGGTATAAGCAACTTGTTTAACTCCCGGAAATCAATGCACATTCTTGTTTTAGTTTCTTCTTCCCGTTTGTACGCAAGAGTGACGGGAGACGCAAAAGGTGAGCATGATTCCTCGATCAATCCTGCTTTTAATAATTCTTTTATCTAATATTCTATTTCTTTTTGATCTGGTATGGAGCAGCGATATGGCTTTTTTGCTACAAATCTGTGTTCTAAAAGTTTCACATGTACCTCGTGATTTTTAACTTGACCAACGTCAAATTTATTCTTGGCAAAAACCGTTTCGTATCTGTTAATCAAATTTTGAATACTTCTTTTTTTTTCTTCAGATAAATGATCTAGTTTTGCTTCAAATTGCTTAACAGGGATACCTTCATTGAAATTTATTACATGTTCTTTCATTTCTGCATTGGTATCAGAATTTCCGTTTTTCTCTTCTTCATTATCCAAATTTGTTCTCTGGTAAATTTTAAAGTCGTAATCTTGTTTCAGGCAGAAATTCTTGATTGTGTCAAGGCCGAGTAGGATATCGTACTCGAAGTTTTTATCCTCAACAACAAAAACCTCCACTGTTTTTTCTATTTTGTGGATTTTCATTCTAGCAGATAATCTACCGACAAAATCTTTTCTGCCACTAACAGTTTTAAAAGTATTTCTATCTTCTCGTGTGTTCAGACCCATTTTCTTACTAATCCTCGAATTCAGAAGAGTTATATTTGCACCTGAGTCGTAAATTCCTTGTATCTTATTATCATTCAGAAATACTTCTAGTCTTATCAGCGGCTGCAAAACTAGTTTTTTTGATCGGTTATCGTTTCGTTCAACTCATCTTGGACTGCCACATTATTCGCCGTCTTGATATTCTTTGGTTGTTCAGTCTGTTCTTTTTGTCTTAATCTGCATAGTGCCTCGGGGTGGAATCTTTCTGGAAAGCCTTTTTTTTCACAATATGAGCAAGGTTTTCTCTCTGTACCTGTGGTGGATAATTGTGTTTGATTTTTCTGATTGGAATTTGAAGTTCCTGGATTACACTTGGTGTATCTAGGTAGATTGGTCACCATTCTTAGACGCGTTTACATGGGAAAATGTTTTTCTTCTTTGTACTAAATTCTCTAATTTCCGCAGCTCTGTTAACAAATCTTCCATTGATGTAGTCTTTGTTTTTTCTATTCTATCTTGTATCATTATTGGTAAATCCGTCACAATTAGGTCGATTAATATATCTACCGGAAAATTATTTCGAATATTAACTAACAAGTTTTCTTTTCGTAAAGCGTAATCGACTAAGCTGCCTCCTATATAACGAAAAGAGTATGCCTCTCTGTTTTTACGCCAGCCTATTTCACGGAAACTATCTAGAAATATTTTTTTCCATGTTTGAAATTCTGCGTCTAAACCTATTGTAACTACTTTTGAAGAAAACCAATCCTTTGCTATCCCGTCCAAAAATAAACGTAATATTAAAATTTTATCCTCGTCTGATGTGATTTGACATCGCGCGCATTCTTTTTCAAACATTTGGAACCAGCTTGTAATCACAAAATTTTTTCCATCAAAGTTATCTAGTACGAAGTCTTCGCGTATTTTCTTTAAATTTTTCCTTGATGTAGGTTCTGGCGTTGCTTCTTTCTTTGTTGTCTGTCTGTCCTCTTCCGTCCCTTTTTTCGCCGTCTTTATTTCATATTGAGGTGCCATTGTTGCTTGTAAATAAACTCCTTTATACACTGCATCTCTATCATCATCGATATATAGTGCCACTATCTCCGGCGGCAATGAAAGCGTAAACGTACGGTAGGATCCCCGAGTCTTAATCGAAGATAAAACTGTTTTTACCTTCTGTATTGCACTAATCTCAGGATGGTTGCTTAGGTTTTGTAATTCTGCTGGCAACTCATAGTATAATTCAGTATTTACTGGTTTCAGCCATTTCAGTCTGTATACATTTGTCTTCTTATCTGTTGATTCTTCAACGGTCACATAGAAACGAAATTGTTCCGTCATCCTTTTTGCTGTTGAGGTTAAGCTTTCGATTTGTAAGGGATTATAATTTGCTTCTGTTGATCTCCAAAATCGTGAGGGAACAAGACACTCGATGCCTATAAGCAAGATTTTATTTGTAACAAACACGTATACAATTAACGATAATATAAACTTAATTACTCCTAACCTATAAGCAAGAAATCGAAAGCGATGCTCCTTCTCCCACGATCATATATTGAGTCTATTCGTGACACGGTCTCGCCGTGTGACCACGTCACCGTGTGGCAGTGTAGCAGTGCTGTACTGTAAAGGAGACACTCATGCGATTCTCCTTTACATATATATATGTATATAGTTTAATCTCTCACCTAGAACAATATATTTGATTCAAGATTTTGGAGTGTAAGTTAACTAGCTTTCAATCACGTATATCTTCATAAGCATATGTTTACAAATTATTATTCTAATTAATAATTAATATCGTGAAGGATTGTTCTGATAATCAATTTCGTAATAACATTATACCAATAAAATCTATTACGTATAATCAATAATCAAATACGCTATTAAACGTAATTTCTGAAAAAATTAATTGAAATTATTTAAATTATTTATATATTTTGCAGGTACACAATTTAGAAGTAATTGATCAAAATGGTGTTCAATTTGGAGGAGGAAATACCATAAAACGATAATAATATAAAGACATTAGATCCGAGTATATTGAAAGTTCTTGATGCCAGTGCTATAATCTTGAATGTGACTAATGCAAAGCTTGTCGACAATAATGTTGCCCTAAATAAGAGTGGTATCAAAATAGTTGACAAGCGCAGTAGTACATTACAATAATAAAAGTACATTAAATTCTGAAGGTAATGCAATGCTACCGACACTTTCGACGTTAGAAAACAAACTGATATATCATTGAAGGT